GATGGGGTCCACCCTCTGCACCCCTACTCAGGTCCCCCCACCCCGTACCTCTGCCAGCACCCGGCGCATCGCAGCGGCTGCCTGGGGCGAGACGTCCCAGGGGTCGGTTTCCTCCACCATAAGCACATCAAGGGTGCCCTTCTCCAGCACCACGTCGAAGGAGGCGTCGGGGAAGGCGAGGGCGCGGATGTCCATGACGGCCCAGCGCAGGCCAGGGCAGCGGGCGTAGCGGGCGCGCATGGCCGCGATGCAGGCGGGGGAGAAGTCGATGCTGGTGACGTCGGTGTAGCCCAGCTCGTGCAGGTCGTAGCTCAGGGAGCTGTTGCCACAGCCTGTGTGGGGCACAGCTCACACAGGGCTCGGGGTGCCAGTGGGGGTGCTGGCACCCCAGCTCTGTTCCTGTGGTCCAGGGGAGGGTGCGGGTGGGCTGGGGCTGCTGGGAGCGGCAGGTCATCGCTTTGATGCCAGTTAGCAAGTGTTGGGCTACTCATTAATTATCCCTGTCCTGCCAGGTAGGTGCTTTGGGCTCCTATCCTGGGTGGGGCAGCCCTGCACACCTGATCCCTCACCTTGGGGTGGGATGTGTGGGGATGCTGGAGGCAGGACAGAGGCAAGGGGCGTCCCCAGTTACCCCTCCCGCAGCGCTGTGGGACAGGAGCCGGCCGTGTCCCCAAGAGCCTGCTGGATAACTCCAGTGGGAAATTAGGGAACTTCGGCGGAGGGTTTAACTGGGTGCGATGAAGAGAGGGATGGAAGAACTGGTGTCTTAATAGGACACGGGGAGACACGGGGAGAGCCCCGCTGCCAAACTCTCCCCTCGGAGCCGCTCCACCGGAGCTCGGCCGCTCACCGGGGGGGCCGCGGGGGATCCCGGGGAGGGGGGCGGATTTGGGGGCTATTAAGCGCGGCTGGCAGCGGCTGATCCGCTAACAGGATCGGTGATTACACCCACTTAATCCCGCCGGCCCGGCGGCGGATCAAAGCGCAGGTGGGATTACGGGGCGGTTATACCCACCCCGCTGCCCGCCAGCACCCCCGGTACTGGGGCCATCCCCCGGGCCGGGCTGGGCGCAGCTCCCGGTACCGGCCCGGTGCCACACCGCCCCCTAGCGGCTAGCGCCAGTGCATCCACCGGCGGGACGCCGAGCCCCGCCCACCCGCCCTCCACCGGGCACGCCGGGCACGGGGCACGTACCGAGGACGAGAATGCGGTCACCGGGGCGCAGCTCGGGCTCCAACTGCGGGAGAAACCGGGAGAGACCCCCCAGCCACTCACGGGTCTCGGCGCCCTCCCGCCGGTACAGTGCGTCCCAGAATCGGCGCCGCCCGTACCGGGGGAGGGCGGCGGGCGCGCGCCGCCGCTCCATGCCCGGGAGCGGGGCGGGAGCACCGGGCCCCACGTGCCGCCCGCGCCCCCACGTGCGGCTTCCGGTCCGGACGGGTGCGCCGCGCTAAGCGCTCCGGGCGGAAACACAGAGCGGAATGGCGGCGGGGCGGGGGGCGGCGGCGCTGCGGCGGGCATGGCGGGAGCGGCGGGCGGCGCTGCTGGAACCCCGCTACACCCCGCTGGTGGCCGCCTGCCTCTGCCTGGCCGAGGGCGGCGTCAACCTCTGGGTCATCCGCAGGGTCCCCTGTGAGTGCCGGGGCCCGGCCCGGCCCAGCGCTGCCTGGGGCTGCCCCCGGGGATAGCGGGGCCGGTCCAGGACAGCGCGGGGCGGTCTGGGGGCAGGGACAGCTCGGCCCCGGGGCGGGAGGTGATGGCGGGGATGGTCCTGGGGCAGCGCGGCGGGCGGGGATGCCGCGGGCAGGGGGACAGAGCTGCCCCGGCCCCTCGGGTGACAGCATCCCCCGGGCAGGGGGACAGGAGCGGGCGGGGGCGCCTGGATGGGGCAGGGGAGGGACACAGGGCTGGGCTGGGGGTCCTGGATGTGGCCGGCAGGGGAAGATCCTGTGCTGACAGCACGGCAGGGAGATACAGGGTCAGGCTGGCTGGTTCGGAGGTGGGTCAGCCCCCACGCCCCCTGCAGTGCCCTCCGAGCCCCAGCTGACCCCGCCGTCCCGCAGACACCGAGATCGACTGGAAGGCCTACATGCAGGAGGTGGAGGGTTTCGCCAACGGCACCCTCGACTACACCCAGCTGAAGGGTGACACCGGGCCACTGGTGTGAGTGACACGGACACGCAGCTCTCCGTGACCAGCGGCTCCCGGAGGGGCCGCAGGGCCCGGCCCCTCACTCCCGTCTCCCCACAGCTACCCCGCCGGCTTCGTTTACGTCTTCCTGGGGCTGTACCATGCCACGGGCCGCGGCTCCGACATCCGCCTGGCACAGTACCTCTTCGCCGGCCTCTACCTCCTCAACCTGCTCCTCGTCTTCCGCATCTACTGCCGAACCAACAAGGTACCCTGAGGCCAGGGCTCCTGCCGGCCGCCTCGGGTCTTCGCCTGGGGAGGGCTCTGCTGAGCCTCCAGCCCGGAGAAAAGGACACAGGGCTGAGGTTTGGAGGAGCTCAGTAGCAGCAGGGACTCCAGGACAGGCTGCTGCTGACCCCTCTGTGTCTCTGTCCCCTGCAAGGTCCCTCCGTATGTTTTCTTCTTCATGTGCTGTGCCTCATATCGCATCCACTCCATCTTTGTCCTGCGGCTCTTTAATGACCCTGTGGCCATGGCCATCCTCTTCCTCGCCATCAACCTCTTCCTGGAGGAGCGCTGGTCCTGGGGCTGCCTCCTCTTCAGGTGAGGGGCTGGGGGGTGCTCCCCATGGGGTGCTGGGTGTGTGAGCCAGCTCAGCCCCAGGAGGAGGCTGCACTTGGCTCAGGGGCTGCCTGGGCTCCCTTGTGGGGTCCACAGTGGTAATGCAGCTTCCTGCTCAGCCTGGCTGTGTCGGTGAAGATGAATATCCTGCTCTTCGCACCTGGACTCCTCTTCCTCCTCCTGCAACAGTTTGGTCTCCTGGGCTGTATCCCCAAGCTCTTCATCTGTGCCCTGCTCCAGGTGGGTCCCTGTTCGGGCTGGCTGCAGTAGCAGGGAATTGTGGGCTGCCTTGCCAGGCTGCAGAGCCATGGGTGGAGACAGTGGTACCAGCATCTCTGGCTGTGAGCAGCAAGCTGGGTGTTGATAAATAATCTAACTCACATGACTTTCATCTTTGGCTGACTGTCCCTGTCACCACACGTGGCACTGGGCTTCTCAGGAGGTAGCCAGGGTAACTGTGACCTGGTGGAGGGCTCTCTGCTGATGCTGGTGTGTTCCTGGCAGGTGGTTCTGGGCCTGCCCTTCCTGCTGGTGAACCCTGTGGGGTACCTGACCCGCTCCTTTGACCTGGGCCGCCAGTTCCAGTTCAAATGGACAGTGAACTGGCGCTTCCTCCCAGAAGAGGTTTTCCAGAATCGAGTCTTCCATGCTGCTCTGCTCCTGGCTCACCTGGCAGGCCTGGGGCTCTTTGCACTGCACCGGTGGCACAGGTGAGACCTGGGGTTCCCCACAGGTGTTGATTCCTGCCAATCCCATGTGCAGGATACAGATCCATGACTCCCCTGCCCCCACAGTGCTGCAGTCCTGGGATTGCAGGTGTGAGTTGGAGGGCAGTTACTGTTCCGTTTTGGGGAATGTGCGGCCCATGAATTGTGGCTCACAGTGGAACATTGGGGTGGGACTTTCAGCAGCTGAGATCAATGTTTGTTCTTTCTCCTCAGTTCCAAAGAGAATATCCTGACTCTGTTGAAGGATCCTGCCAAAAGGAAACCCGCATCCCCTCGCTTGACTGTCAACAATATCCTTTGGCAGGGTGGGCAGTGAGGAGAGAGGGAGAAGGCAGTGCAGGGCAGGGCAGGGCAGGGAGAAACCTGGTTGAGTTCCAGGTCATGCAGTGCTGTTGTACCAGCCTGCCCTGGGGAAAGGAGCTATGCTGGACAGCTGGGAGCTGTTGTGGAATCACACCTTTGGTCTCCTGTGTTTGCCCCCTTAATGCCAGTGCATGGATTGTCTTTATCCTCTTCTCCTCCAACTTCCTGGGTGTCTGCTGCAGCCGCTCCCTGCACTACCAGTTCTACGTTTGGTATTTCCACACACTGCCCTACTTACTCTGGTGCACCCCGACCACCAAGCTCGCCCACATGCCCAAGTATGTGCTGGCAGGGAGGGGAGCACCCATCTGCTGGGGGGCTGGGAGTGAGGATGGCTGGTGTGCCCCCCACGCTGACCCCCAGCTTTCCCCCCGCACAGGGTGCTGCTGCTGGGCGTGATCGAGCTCTGCTGGAACACTTACCCCTCCACAGTCTGCAGCTCCCTCTCCCTGCACATCTGCCATGGACTCATCCTGCTCCAACTCTGGTACGGCACAGCTCCCACACCGGTGTCACACACCCCTCCACCGGGCAGGAAACCCACAGCCGTGTCTAAGAAAGCCCAGTGAGAGTGGGGATGACTGGGAACTGGCCTCTGGAACTGCCCCATCTGCCTGCTCTTTTCCCACTTGACTCCCAGGCTGCCCACAGAGGGCCATGAGCCCTGGAACTGTGCAAAGGGGGCAGGGTGTGGGGACCCTGAAAAGGCAGGACTTCCCGAATAAAGGGAACTGTCCTTCCCCAAAATCCTTGTCCTGTGATGATGTCAGAACAGCTGTCCCTGGACTTGCCCCACCTGAGTGAAGGCAGAGCAGCTTGTAGAGCCATGGGCACTTTCGCTTCCCAGCTGTGGGAAGGGGATGCCCAGGGCTGAGAAGCAGCCTCTGGGGTAAGGTTAGAACAGAGGAGCTGCAAAACTGCTTTGCCTCAAGGTTTCATTTGCCTTGATGGAGCCCATGAATCCCTCCAGTACAGCTTTTCCTACACCCCTGCCCGCTCCCTCTCACCAGAGATGGCTGGGAAGGGGGTGACCCCCTGCTAGGATTCTGGTGAGTCCTGGCATGGCCTGAATGGAGCCAGCAGCTCTCTGCTGGAAACAGAAACACCAGTGCAGCTGGCTTGGAGCCAGGTGTCTTTATTGGCCCCTCGGGCGGCCGTCAGACGTTGTTGGGGTCGTAGCACAGCATGTTCAGCTTGATGTTCTCGTCCCAGTGACGCAGCAGCAAGAACAAGTGCCTGGCTGCCCCTTTGAGGCAGCCCACGTCCACCCCCTCGGGTAGGCGCTGTGCCTGCAGCCACGCATCCGCCTTGGCTGCCACCAGCTCCCACTCCTCGAAGAACCCAGCGCAGCGATGCTCCAGCCACGCCAAGGCCACTGCCGTGGCCCAGCTGGCACTCTCCAGATCCTCTGGCCCCATGTCCTGACAGCTCACACCGGCCTCAGAGGGGGCAGCAGAGTGGGGCCCGGTGTCGGACTCGGAGCCGTGCCCGCTGTCCGCCTGCGCCCACACGGCTGCGCTGGGCACCTCGGAGCAAGTGCTCTGGGATGTGGGCGAGCTGGGCTGCAGGGCTGCAATGGGCTCCTGAGCCTCCTCAGCTCCAGGTCTTGCCTCAGGCATGCTTCTGGCCCCTGGGGACACGGGGCTGAGGCTGGCACGGTGGGAGGCATAAGGGGAGGCCCGGCGCAGGCGGTCCAAGGGGATCTGCACCACTTCAGAGAAACTCTCGGTGAGCTGGAACGGCCCCCGGGCTTGCTGCAGCTGCACCTGCAAGGAGAGGGACAGACGAGTTGGGGGGCAGGCAAACACCGGGGGCTGCAGGAGTGTCCCTGGCACACAGGGACAGTCTAATGCCCCCCAAAAAGCCAGCCAGGATCCCCAGAGACATTTAAGGACACAGCAGGGCTGAGCAAGGACCTACTGGGAGCATCATCCACTGCTCATTCTGCCAGGCGTGACCTGGGTGGCTCAGCTGGCACCCAGCAGGACAGGTCCCCCTGCTGGGATGGGGACTGGGGACAGGGAGCAGGTCCTTACCAGCGGGAGGTAGTCATGGCTTGCGTGGTTGCTGGAGCGCTCGCTTTCTGGGCTGAGGCACTGCGGGCGCAGCACCAGGCTGGGACCCCTGCGCCTGCTCAGGCTAAACCTGTGGGGTCACAGGCAAGATAACAGGATTGGGAGGAATTCCTGAATGGCAGCTGGACACCAAACTGCTGCAGGGAAGGGGCTGGAACACCAAACCCCCCCACTTAAGCTGCAGGAGCTTGCAGGTGACATGGGACCAGCAGCTCCAAAAAATGGCACTGTCCCCCTCGCCCCACAACGTGCCATTTTTGGTCCCTTGCATCCCCCCACCCCACAGTGTCACCTGGAGCCTGCAGTGCTCTCTGTGGATTTCTGGGAGCCCATGGAGGTGGTGGAGGGGCTGGATGGAGGCCCTGCAAGGGGGGAGAGTTAAGCACAGTGGGAACATGATGCACCCAGAGGTGTGTCCCACTGCCCAGTACCTAGCAGGGCAGCTCAGCCCACGTGCCCGGGGTATTTCAGGCACAGTGGATGCTCCAGCTGTGGCAGGGCATTGAGGTACCCCATCTCCCACCCTCATCCTTGGCCCCCTCCAGCATGGACACACCATTTGAGTAGTTCCGCTTTTCCCAGCCAAAGGTAGGGGAGGAGATGCTGCCTGGAGACCTGGGAATCTCGTCTCGCTCTGCAAAAGAGCAAAGTCTTGTGGGGCCCCAGGCTCCAGGGACCGTCACAGCTCACAGCTGCTCTCAGGAGCTGCTATGCTGTCATGCCACGTCCCCCTCCCCAGTATGGGGCAGATGCCTCTTTCTGGATATCCACAGCACCCTAGGCAGGCCCAGCCCCACACAGCTGTGGGTCTCTGTGCAGAACCCTGGGGAGCACAAATTGACATAAAGGTCTAAGTCAGTACCTGCAGCGCCAGGGGCCTCATCCTGCTCCTCTACATCCTGCTGCTGTCCCTGACCCGCTGAGGAGCTCCGGTGGTGCCAGTCCCCTGCTGCAGCGGCTCGTGTCCGGCTGGCTGAGCCAGCTGAAAGGGATGATGCCACCTCAACCCTCTGTCCCCTTGCTGCCCCCTCCCCATCCCACCAGGCCCTTGCCCGTACCTATGCCCCACACCTCGGGGGCTGTGGGTAGGGCTGCCTGTGTGGCACCGTCCACGGGCACCAGGCGGGTGTAGAGGGAAGGCACGTTGCAGGCTTTGCTGGTTTGCACGGCTTTCAGGCGGAACCGACGGGCAAAACCTGCCCGGAGCAATGCGGTTAGAGCGGGGGGGCTGCGGGAGCCGCCCCAGGCAGCCACCCCAGCACTCACCCTGCTCCAGCTTGGCTTCTCGCTGTGCCACGCTCTCATTGTCCTGGACGATGGAGCGCGCTGCCAGGCGGTGCAGCGGCTTGTCCCAGGCTTTGGCCACCCGCCGCGGCGGGTCCTCCCTGCCCGGCCCCTCCCGGGGCTGCAGCAGTGACTCCAGCGAGGCTGTCACTTCCCAGGACACCGGCTTGCCTGCTCGCAGTGCATGGATCACCACCTGGCAGCGCAGGGGCATGCTGGCATCGTCCAGGCTGGGCTGCCCCTGCTCGGGCGCTGGTGAGGCACTGAAGAGGTAGGAGGGCTCCACCAGCATGTCCCAGTCCAGGTGGGTGGGCGAGAGGAGGTTATCTGGGCAACAGCAAAGGGTGGGCTCAGCAAGGCAGGGGCACCTGGCTCCATCCTCACCAACCTCGTCCCCAGAGCCAGCACACACTTGACTCTCCTGCGCTGGGCTGCATTTGCCGTGGTTGGGGTCCCAGCTCATCCAGCCGCCCCTCCAGGGACTGGTTCGTCTTCTGTGACACCTTTTCCAAGGCCTGGCAGAGCCGATGGGCATCCAGCTCCCCGTGTGGCGTGGAAAAGCTGCGCCCAGCCAAGGCAGCACGTGCCAGTGCCTTCTTCTGCCGTGCCAGCTCCTCTGTGCTCAGGGCCACCGTGACCTGCGGTGGGGACGAGGCTGTTGGCAAGCCCAGCAGAGAGCCCAGATTGCTCTGAGCTGCGATGGGGCACCTGCGCCTCTCCGGCTGCTGGTTGGAGCCTTGGCTGTCATCAGCCCCAGTGCTCTGCAGGCTGGCACCAGCTGCCTCCCAGGGATGCTTGCCTGGCACCACAGACATGGGAAGCACCCACAGAGGAGTTTGCAAACATCCCTGGGGACTGACTCAGGCTAATGCTGGAGTTGCCAGGGATTTGTGTGTGTGCAGAAGTGAGGTTAAGTAGGATATTCAAGCTGGATGGTGTTACAATGGGATGCATTTCCCAGTGCAGAGTGATGTCCCTACATTGAGATGCTTCCCCTAAAAGACATGTCAGGGCAGTGGCACCCATGCCACCTCTCATCCCAGCAGCAGGGAGCTGGGAGAATCATTTACTCTGCAGGGAAATCACTTACGCTTGACATTTCAGCAGCAAAGGTCACCAGCTGTGCTGCTGTGTGACAGGAGTGAGTTACCTAAGCCGTGCCATTGGAAAGGAGTGTGTCCTGGTGCTGGGTGACAGCTGGCCTCACCAAACCTTGGGGCCATCGTCACCAGGGCAGCTGCCTTTCCCCATCCCGGTGACCCAGCTGGGCTCTAAAGCCAGGTATGAAGCAGCAGGGATGTGGCCCATTGCTAATGAAGTGTCTGGCAGTGTTGGCTGAGGGCTGAAGCCCAGCCAGCCAGCCCTTCCTCTCCAGCCCAACAGATTTGTTACATGATGCCAGCCCAGCTATTTTCCTTTGGTTTCTGCAGCTTTAAGGTGTCACTGAGCTGGCTCAGGGGTCTGTTAGACCCTCAGCTGACTGCTGGCCAGGGACACTAAGGGACCAGCTGCTTGGTCCCCAGCTGTCCCACTTCAATAGAGCAAGACCACCCAAGGAACATCATCCCCATGGCATCTATTCCTGATCCTTGCTTAAAATCCAGGCTACAGCACTCTGTTTCCCAGCCCAGTGGGCAGATGCCTGGGCACAACAGGGCAGCAAGGCTCCAGCTAAGCCATGAACAACCCCCACACCATGTGCCCCTGCACCCCATTGGTATCCTTACCTTGGTGCCAGCTGGGGCAGAGGGCAGCGGGGCAGATTTGGTGGAGGACTCACAGAGGGACAGGCTCTTCTGGCCCTGCTGGGAGGTGACATCAGCACCAGGAGCCAAGGAGCCACCCTCGGGGGCCACATCCCGGGAGCCAGTGGACTCGCTGCTGGTGGAGCTGCGGGAGAGCAGCCCCTGGCTGCGGTCAGTGCTGACAGAACAGTGTGTCAGGACATACTGCTCCTGGATGTAGGAGGGCTGGTAAATCCGCTTCCAGATGTCTCCCCCAGAAACAGGATCAATACCTGCCCGGTGAGTACACACCCTGTCAGCCCATGGCTCCCAGGACTGCCCCAGCCCCAGCTCTGGACCCCACTCACTCCTCTCTGACACCTCTGTACTTCCAGCAAAAAGCTCCAGGGAGGCATCCCCGGTTCCTGGGTTGCTCTGGGATGGCTGGTGGCTCTCCCCAGGACTGGGCACTTCCTGCTGGGAGAGAAAGGCTGAACCCCGGGAGCTCTGCCGAGCTCCTTCCTGGCCCTAGGGGAGAGAGAGGACACCATCAGCCCCCCAGTCAGGGGGACCATGCACTGGGACCACGCCATCCTCCCCAGGCCAGTGCCCGTCGTACCAGCGGGCGCCTGCCACCGAAGCGGGCGATGCTGTAGAGGACACAGTAGCTGATGAGGCGGTCACCAGGGTAGAGGGCCGGGAGCTCGGTGGGTGAGAGCAGAGCCTCCATACTGTCAGGGACGTACCAGTCGATGGTGATGTCGCTGATGGCTGGCTCGATCGCCTTCTTCAGGGACTTGATCAGCTGGGGTGGCGAGTGGAGACAGTGTCAGACACGGCAGTGTCCCCGGTGCCCCCCACGCCCCTGCCTGGGTCTTACCTTGGGCTGCAGCCTCTCGGCCGGACCCAGGAACTCGGCACGGCCCCGGCTCACCTTGGCCACGGCCTTCAGCAGCCGCCGGCACGGCCGCGGGCCCATGCCAAAGCTGAAGCACCTGCAGGAGAGCCAGGGGATGGAAAGCCACAGCTGGGCTGGGGCCGGCACACCCAGTGGGGAGCCCTTAGCAGGGATGGGCAGAGGTGTCTGACAGCCAGAGCGCTGCCCTGGCTCCGTGCTGGGCTGGGGCACCCCAGGAATAGCTGAGCCCATGGTCTGAGGGATGCGATGGGTGAAGGACACCCCTGGGGCAGGCGCAGGTAAGATTTGAGGCTGCACAAGGAGAAATCAGTGGGAACGGCGCGGGGGATTTAGAGAACACCGAGATCTGCCGCGGTGCCGCTGCCGTACCTGACGGTGCTGGCCTGCCTGCGCACCAGCCGCAGGATCCTGCTTGCGTTGCCCACTGCCACACCGGTGAAGAGGAATAGCTGGCGAGGGTAGCCGTGGTGGAGGGGCTGTGCCAGCGCCCAGCCCAGGGCTGCCAGCAGGTTGGTGCCGCCAGGGTCCGCCCGCAGCCCGCCGAGGTGCTCGCAGGCACGCCGCAAGGTCTCCTGTCAGCACAAAGCCGGCCTTGCAGCGGTACCCCGGCTCACCAGCCCTTACCCCAAGCCAAGGAGATGGGAGGAGGACAAAGAGGGGTTAGTGGATACCCAGGATTTGCCTGTGATACTCACGTTGCTGCAGAGGCGACTGGATGGGAAGAGCGGCTTGATGTCAGTGCCGAAGCTGGCGAGGTTGAGCAGTGTTCCTGAAGGGAGGCTCTTCAGGGCCACCAGCAAAGCCTCCTGAGGTGACAGCAGGGACCAGGGACAGCTGCTAAAGGCTGGCCACCCAGAGAGCACCCCTGGACCCATGGCCGTGCCTCACCTTGACCCTGTCAAGGTCAGGGCCACTGATGGTGTCGCTGCGGTCAATGAGGAAGAGGATCTCACGGGTGACGCTCTGCAGGTCCCCGGGGACGCCCTCCACAACCGGGCAGAAGTTCAGCATCAGCACGGGGTTGGGGAAGATGTCTTTGTGGAAACGCTTCTGCATGAAAGCCACCTGCGAGCCAGGCCAGTCAGAGGCTCTCTCACAGCCTCCAGAGCACACCAAGGTCTTCCTCACCCACATCCCACCACCTCCCCCTGTCCTCCTCCCGGCTGGGGCAGCAGTAGCTCTGCCCTGTCACCTGTCTCTCGCCACTGCTGTCCTTCCTGGCAATCCGCGCGTAATCCCGGCGGCTCCGGATGTGTGCCTCGTACTCGGGGTATGTCATGGTGCCATCCTCAATCACCAGGTGGGGGCTGTGGGGCTCTGGGGGGCACAGGAGAGTTTCAAGCTACCCTGTGCTGCAAGGGGCTGAGGGATGCTCTGGATGTTTCTGTGGTGATGTCTCGAACCCTCCAAGGGCACCGTCTCCCCTCACCACAAGGGTAGAGGATGATCTCCAGGTCCCTGTCATAGTGGTGGGGCTCAGCTAGGGTGACACAGGTGGTGGTGGCAGAACTGGCCCAGGGGTCAGCGTCAGCTCTCAGGGCATGTGATGGGCTCTCCAGCCCTGCAGAGAAGGGAAGGCAGCAGATAAGTCCCTCACAAACCCCCTCCTCAGCCCCCTACCCACCAGGCCCCACAGCAGTGGCTTGTTCCTGACAGAGCTAATGGGATTGACTGGGCCAGCAGCAAGGAGCACACCCCCACCAACCAACCAACCAACCATCCATCTTCCCCTCCTCACCCATCCTCTCCCCAGTGCATCATATCACCCCAGGGAAAGAGGCTGCTGACCTAGAACTGCCCAAAGGCACAGGCAGGGTGACTTTGTGGGGTCCCAGCCCCAGGGACGGAATGGGAAAAGGGCTTTTTTGCCTGGAGGGAGTTCATGAGGATGCCCAGGAACAGGCCCTCACTAGAAGGGAGGGACCAGGGAATATCACCCACATTTTGAGGAGGTTTTACACAACCAACTGGTAACACTCAAGCCACATCCCCTACCTGCCAGCAAGCAGGGGCCCTTCACCAGCAGCTCGAAGTTGAACTCGTAAGGAAAAGGGTTGTAGGGTCGTCCCCGAAAGACATCCACGCTCTCCACAGGTACCACAGTGGGTGACTGGCTCCGGGCACCTGGCCCCCCAAAACAGCTGGTGGGGCTGCAAGGGGAGAGGGGGTGATGGCTCCTGCCCCCCAGCCCTGCTGGCCCAGCATTGGCATTGCCCCCCTGGGATGGCAGAGACTGAGGAAGCCATGAAAATCACCATAGGGCCAACCTGTCGTCACACAAGCTTGCCGGCTCGCTCTCGGGGTCGGCGGGGACGTGGGGCGTGAGGATGGGGGGCAGGAGGAGGCGCAGGGCCCCATCTGGCAGCGTGGGCAGCTCCTGCACTGTGTTCAGGGTGATGGCCAGGCTCTCCGACGGGCACAGTGTGCCAGTGACAATGATGAAGGTGGAGCGCTCCACGTCCTCATCCAAGACAAGATGGCCTGGGCAGGAGAGGGATGAGGGATGGGGGCATGTCAGCAAGGCATGTGGGGTTGTAAAGGTCATTAGTGGCCCTAATTGCTCCCAAAGGTGACAGCAGAGCACAGGTGTAACAAAGCTGTGCGAATGATGGCAGAGCCTCAGAAGAGGTGCAGGGAGGGGAAAGGAGACATTGAGATCTCCAGCCCCAGAGACACACTAGGCACTGGGGTGGCCTGGTAGTGGCTCTCAGCCCCTCATATCCCCCCACACTTCCCCCCTGCCCGTTCTGAGCCTCCTGGCCAGGAACACCCAACAGCACCACCCATGCCATGGCACTTACCACTGGCACAGCGGCGCAGCCGGCCGGGGCTGGGGCTGCACTGGAGGCAGCAGTCCTGCACCCGGTGCCGGTTCTGGACCTGGAATGTCACCCGCTGGCTGCCCACTGCTGCCTCAAAGCCAGCCACCACCTCCGACTCCTCCAGTGGGTAGATGAAGATGCCTGCAGGCGGGAGAGAGCCCCAAGGCAGATCCAGGCATGGCCATTGCTGTGGCAGCAGCCCGCAGGAGCCCCCCTGAGAGCCCGTCTGACTCACTGAGACGCACGCGAGTGAGATACGGGAGCGACCAGAGCCTCACTAACCCAGAGGGAGGGTGAAATCCTCCCGTGTCTCTGTGATGGGACTCTGTTTGCTCAGCCTCACTCTCCTCCTGCCCACAGTGGGTGACAGTGGCCTCCATCTCTGCTCCCCAAACTGAGCAGTGTTTGGGGGCTGGGACACAGATGGGCTGGGATACTCTCCAGCACAGGGGCTTTTAGGGCACTGTGCAGGCAGCCCAGGTCCTTGCTAGACCTGATAGCCTTCCCTTACCTTCCACAGGCTCCTTGTGGGGGTTGGTGTAGGTGAGGTGAGCAGTGATGCTCAGGGAGTATCCGTTGGCACAAGCCTTCACCGTGGAGCTCTTCAGGGGCAGAGCCTCCCAGGACAAGAGGGTGTAGAGGCCTGGCATGGTCCCTCTGTGGGCAGCTGTGAGCACAGGGAAGGCAGGTACTGGATGTTCAGGGATGGATCAGCTGGAAGGGGCTTCTGCCCACAAGCCATTTCCATCTGCCCAGCCTGCAAGAGGGAGCAGGTCTCCAGCCCTCCCCCATCTAAGGCTGCTCTTCAGCATCCACAGAACACATAGACTTGGACCCAGGTCTCTCCTTGGACCCCAGCCCACCTGCAAGCCAGGTCTGGAGCCACAAGAGCCCACAGAAAGGGCAACAAAATTCCTGTGGGCAGTGGTTACATGCAAGCCCCAAACCCTGGCATACAAGCTGAGACTCCTGGACAGAATGGATAATGCCCAACTGCATACAGCCATCTCTCAGCCGCCCCAGAGCAGCTCCAGAACCTCTCCAGGCCATCTCCTTTACTGGCTGTGATGCTCCCATCTCCATTCATCCACAGAGGTTACCAGGGTAATTTAAAAAAAAAAAAAAAAAAAAAAAAGCCAACCAGAAGGGTGAGAAGCCCACAGTGTAACTAGGACAAAGCAGCAAGCAGTGTTTGCTGGGGGTTTAATAATTAACAACAAGGTCAGTGCTGCAGGGAAGAACAGCACAGGGGGGAATGCACTGCAGGGTGGAGCCTGACAAGTGGATGATCATCACCTTCTTTGCCCAGAATGGATGTGTCTGGGGTCCCACCTTTTGGCAGGAAGAGAGGTGGCTGGGGATGCCTTCCAGCCATGGCACTAACCCACTCTACACCTTTCTTCCCCTTGGGAAAAACACCCAGGAGCACCATCACAATTAATTGTCTGGAGTCAAGGCATCTCTCCCACATCAGCCCACCCTGTGCCATCAAATATTTGTAAAATATTCCTGTCAGCCTTAGCCCTGGCTGTGTGGGTCTGTGGACAGTGTGCATGGGGTCTGCACCTCTGCTCTGCCCCAAGCACCTGTGACCCAGCAGCAGCAAGGCCCCGGCCCCATACCATGTGCTGGTGCTCCAGCACACAATGTGCCCGGGGCAAGGACAAAGCCAGGTACAAGTAAGCCATCTGGTGCCCCCACTCCAGTGGCCTTCATCCTGCGAACAGCTCGTGAGAGCTTTGGTAACGGGAGGCTCAGGGTGTGGTCACAGAGCGCCTCTCACAGAGCATCCTTGAAAGCAGAGCAGGGCTACATCCTTGGAGGCAGCACCAGGACCAAAGTCTCAGCTGGCACAAAGCAGGGAGCCTTGGAGAAGCACAGAAGTGCATTAGCAACGTGGCTGCATCCCAGGAAAATCAGTCCATTACACCAGAGGAGAGCTCAACTGGCATTGCAGGGTTATGCTGGCAGATCCTGGCCATCCAACCACACCCCACCATCACCAACCCTCCACCCTCTGTGCAGGATGCTGCATGCACTGCTGCGCCCCCCAGACTGTGCTCCCAGCACACGAGGTGGCACAGGGTCCCTGCTCAGCCTGCTGTTCCTCCACACTTGCAGTTCCATAGTTGGAACTTCAACAGCTGGTTCCTGTCCTGACCCCAGCACCCAGATGGGATCTGGAGACCAGGATGCCTCCAACCCAGCCACACTGAGCCATTAAAGACATATTTCTCCCCAAAAGCTGTTCAATTTGTTCCCAAGGCACCCAGTTTAATGCTCAGCAACGTGCCCACTATTTACCGTGCCACCTGTCGGCCGGGTCACTGCCAGCTTGTTTACCAGGGACTTACTGGAGAAGCTGTCCCGGCTGCTTTTTATCACTTCTCTTTACATTTACTCTCACAGAGTAAACAGGCCCCATCTGGCCCTGCCACGCTTCGTGCTGGCTGCTCTAAGCCCCATGGTAATGAATAAAACCAGACATGATGCTCCTCACCCCAGCCTCTTCATCCTCTTTCCCTGGGGCAGCAACTTGTCCCCAGATGCCGATGTGGCATCACCAACAGGTCTCCCCAGCCCTCTCCCCATCCTCAGCATGATTTCCAGTACCTTCACAGCCTTCTCTTCTTCCTCCCCTCCACCTCCACCTGCAGGAGCTGCTTTGACCAGCAACAACCCCAATAAAAAAGGGCTACAGCAGGCTGGGGGTATCTCTTCACCATCTGTGAAGCCAAGAAGGAGCTGACTCTTCCCTAGGTCAGAATAAACCAATGTTTCTCTTCTTGCCTGTGGGCAGGCTGTGTTTTCCAGCAAGGCTGCTGCAGGGAGTCAGGTGCCTGAGCCCAGTGGACCCTCCTTAGCTGCCTGGGGAGTTGTCAGAGTTTCACCTGCTGCAGCAACAGCCACCCAAGCTGGGGTTCAGCACGGTCCAGGGGAAGGAAGAGGCCAAACCCAACACAGGCAAACCCAGAGGAAATTTCCATTGGTGACAGATGCATAGGCAGGTTCAAGAGAAAGGATGAAAGGAGAGGAGCCCAAGCCTCTACAAGAGTGCCTGGAGTGAGGAGCCATTGCTGCCCCTGCTGCTCAGCTGCGTTGCCCCTGCTTCCCTGGCCTCCCCTCCCTGTGAGAAATCCCACGGGGCACAAAGGCAGGAGAGCAGGGTCCATCCCAGCTCCTGGAGCTTTGAGAAGGCCATGGAGCCCAGAGGTGATGGTGCTGTTGCCCTGTTCCCATGGGACACACCACTTCACAGAGCCCAAAGAGGAGTGAAGGGGAAAGGAATTGCTGGATGGGGCAAAGGACTGTCTCCAGCCTGTGGTGCCTCCTGCTTTGTCTGCTGAGGAGTGGGAACAGGGAGCAGAGTCCACTGCACACGCGCGTGCAAGCTGGCACTCACACCCTGACTCCGACACCGCATCCAGGACCACCAGGACCTGCACTCCTGCTCTTGCCTCCCAGAGACACTAAAACCCCTGGAAAACCCATCCTTGTGTCAGGGAACAGGAGTTACTTGCCCTCAATGCGCCGTAACACAGGCATCCCCCAAAAGAAAAGTCTCAGCCACACAGATTTCCCCTGACAAGGGCAAATCATGGCAGGGCAGCCCCACAGAAGGGTCCCAGTGTCCTCCAGCTCGGGACAGCTGTGGCGTGGCTCAGGGACCAGTTGCTGATAACCTGGAGCATGTTCCCAGCAGTTATTGGAGCCAGCCCTGTCCAGCCGCTGCTGGATGGTGATTTCAGCACTTTTGTGGCCCTGCTGTCTCACCTCCACCTCTCACCCCTCCTATGACCCAGAGCTGCCCTGACAGGAGATGTGCAACCCTGGGACACTGACGAATTGCGGGACACCCCCAGGGTCCCAGGCCACCATGATCCCTGCCCTGCCTGCCCCTGGCCCTGGTCCTTACCTGGAGGAGGAGGAGGAGGAGGAGAAGGAGGAGGAGGAGGATGACACAGAGGCTGCAGGCTCCTTTCAGTACCCGCTGGGTCCCTGCCTTCTGCAGAGCCCTCTTCCCTGCGGATGGGTTTCCCTGTCCCTCTGTCTGGGTGGCTGCGGTACCCGGGGGATGAGCGGTCCTTCCCCGCCTCTCCCTGCTGCAGGCTCCCTCTCTGGCACTGGCTCCTTCACCGCCCTCGCTCCATCCCTCACTCCCTGTGCCAGCAGCAGAGCTGCTCCAAGCCCAGCCTCATTAAAGAGACACACTCCCTATACCCGCACCCTGGGGGGAGGTGGGGGATGCTCTCACGGGGAACGCTGGGGGTCTCAGGGGACAGCCAACACCCTCAGAGAGTGACAGGCACTAGTCAAGAGCAGAGCTCATGGCTGTGGGCTGCTCTGTACCCACAGAATAACAATGTCCAGGCAAACTAGAGTGCTGGTGAGACCCCTGGTGATGCTGCAGCAAGGAAAACCACGGGCTTTGTCTGACTGGGACACGAAACCACCCCCCTGTGTGCCCCCACTACAGATCATGGGGCAAAATAGCCCCCATCAACCAGCTGAACTCTCTGGTACAAATCATGTTGGCCACAAGTGTCACAACCAGCTTCACTAGGAAAGGTCTCAGCTGCCCTGAGACCGTAACAAAATTACTCTGAGCAGGCAGATGCTCAATATCCACCCCAAATCCAGATGCCCTGGGGTACCACTGGGCTTTCCTCATCAGCCTCCTTGGGCTGCAGTGAAATCACAGCCCTGAGGAGCAGGAAAGAGGGGGGATTCAGGGACAGCCCAGCTTTTGGGTGACAAGTGTGACAATAAACCCTCCTGGGGAAGGTGCAGGCAGTCAGGAAAATCCCAGTAAAGTCAGGACATGTCTGCTGGCAGGGAGATCTCACAGCCCAGGGCGCACTGGGAATCCCTCAGCCACCGACAGCCCCACGTTCCCAAGCAGGACCAGAGAAATCCATCAGATTTGGGCTAATCCCTGCCCTGCCTTTCCCAGGCAGCTCCCTGTGCTATAGATAGGACTGTGCTGCTGCAGCTTTTTATAGAGCACACCGAGAGGAGTCCCCCCCACCTCCTGCACCACAGAACCCACCGCCACAGCCACACCGAACCTGGAGCCAGTCCAGGCACAAACTGGGGCAGAAAAATCCAGCAGCACCACAAGGGGAGCAATCCCCAGTCCTCAGCAGGTATTTTTAGATCTCACCTTTGAGCTGACCCATATGCCACTAACATCTTCAGCTCCCTGACACGGGTTTCACAGGTGACAGCAGGAGGAGCAACGGAGTGAAATGTCAGTGGAAGATGCCCTTTGCTGCACACGGTAGCGAGAGATGCACTCCTCCTTCCTGACCCCTCACCCTGAGCTTTAGTCAACAATTATCTGGCCAAGAGGCACTTTGTGCATCCCTAGGGCCCTTGCTAGAGCACTCTGAGCCATTCCCTCCCGCATGTGAGGTGCCCCATGGCATATCACTTCCCCTCCTGGTGCAGAGAGGAGAGCTGAAGTGTGCAGCTGCTCCCCTTCCCTCTCCTTTATGACCGCAGGAGAAGGATGCTAATCCATGTGTTATCCCCCCGTGACAGCCGCCAGCTCTGGGAGCTGCTGGAGGCCCCACACACACAACACATCCACACAGCCTGTGACCTGCATGGGACTCCTGCTCCCATCATCACAGCAAGCGCCAGAGCC